TAAAGCTGTTAAGTTAAGATGCTCTGGAGGCTATGGCTCTGCTACCTGCTAGCTGGTGGTCTCGGGTGAGCTTCTGTCCTCCTGCTCATTTTCACACATGTACAGTGAGGGCAAGAGCATTCACTGCTGCGGGTCGTAGGGTCAGTAGTCACAGCTGTGCTGGCATTTCTGGCCTAAACATCAGTTCCGAGACAGAAGCGAAGCCCGGATTCCCAAGACCCTACCTCCCAAGCCCTTCGTGTGTCTGCAGCCCCTGCCTGACAGCATCTGGTGTTCCAAGGTGAGCTCTCCTGAAGTTGAGGCCACGGGCTTCTTGGGGAGAATATGTGACCGGCACTGCCCTTATAGCCTGCTGCCCTCTCAGCACCTCTGGGGGCCTCGGGATGCAGGGCCAGGAGCGGGTGCATGGGGTGGAGTTCAACCTTGTGCTTGTTCTGCGAGAGTTAGTGACTGGCTGCCAGGAGGGGAAGCAATGGGGACGACCTTGGCCTGGGCTGTGACACTCAGAAGGAAGGTCTCAAGGTCACCTCTAGGTAACTCGGGCAGCAAGAAGTGCAGTTCTGCACCACCTGGTTGGTTCCTATGACATGTTTTGGTTCTGAAATGATCACTTCTTCTTATCAACCAGAAAAGAATGAGGTAGTATTTATTTTAAAACAGAGTTAGTTCTATGTACTTTTTTCATTGCACTTGTGAAGACCTTAGAAATGAAGGTAGTGGGAAGAAGGAGCCATCGCCATGCACTCTCCACGGGGTAGCTGTCGATTGTTGGGCCCAGTCACAAGCAGCGTAGCTGGTGTCTGTTCTCTCACAGAGCTCCCTCCTGGTAGGAGGACTGGGAAGATAAACACAGAGCTAATAAGTAAGAGCCATGGAGAAAAATAAGTCAGGGGTTGAGACTAGGGAATGAGGCAGAGGTATAACTACATGTGAGTGACAGGAAGGAAGGAGCTCTTCGATGGAATGGATGTTTGAAGGCACCTGAAGGAGGTGAGGGTGAGTCTCTGTGGACATCTGGGTGGAGCATTCAGGCAGAGGACAGCGTGTGGCGGTCATGAGGCGAAGCCTGCCTGGTGATAGGAAGGACAGGAGGCCAATGCTGGAGCCCCAGTGAGTGAGGAGAGCAGAGGAAGAGGGGGCGGCTGGCTCAGGGAGGGCAGCGCTTCTCTGCTCAGATGCATGCAGCTCCCCTGGGAGTGTAGATGCAGATTCTGAGGCAGCAGGTCTGAGATGGAGCCTGGCGTTCTGCATTTCTGCAAAGTGTCCAAGTGATGCTGCTGGCCCATGGACCACACATTGAGTAGTAAGGCTATGGCCGGTGGGCGAAATGATGTGGCCTTTGTTTTATTTATTTGTTATTTATTTATTATTATAATACTTTAAGTTCCTGAGGTACATGCATAACGTGCAGGTTTGTTACATATGTATACTTGTGCCATGTTGGTGTGCTGCACCCATCAACTCGTCAGCACCCATCAACTCGTCATTTACATCAGGTATAACTCTAGTGCAATCCCCCTCCCCCTCCCCCTCCCCATACAGTAGGCCCAGTGTGTGATGTTCCCTTCCCGAGTCAAGTGATCTCATTGTTCCAGTTCCCACCTATGAGTGAGAACATGCGGTGTTTGGTTTTCTGTTCTTGTGATAGTTTGCTAAGAATGATGGTTTCAGCTGCATCCATGTCCCTACAAAGGACACAAACTCATCCTTTTTTATGGCTGCATAGTATTCCATGGTGTATATGTGCCACATTTTCTTGGTAATCTGTCACTGATGGACATTTGGGTTGATTCAAGTCTTTGCTATTGTGAATAGTGCTGCAATAAACATAAGTGTGCATGCGTCTTTTGCAGCAGCATGATTTATAATCCTTTGGGTATATACCCAGTAATGGGATGGCTGGGTCATATGGTACATCTAGCTCTACATCCTTGAGGAATCGCCATACTGTTTTCCATAATGGTTGAACTAGTTTACAATCCCACCAACAGTGTAAAGTGTTCCTATTTCTCCACATCCTCTCCAGCACCTGTTGTTTCCTGACTTTTTAATGATTGCCACATTCTAACTGGTGAGAGATGGTATCTCATTGTGGTTTTGATTTGCATTTCTCTAATGGTGGCCTTTGTTTTAAGGAGACTGGGGGCCTTGGATTGCTCTAAGCTCCAGAGCAAGTTCCTCTTGACTTTTGTTTTAAAATTGCACTGCTGCTGGTTAGGCTGTCAGGGAGCAAGGGTGAAAGCAATTTGAGCTACCGAATAATCCTAAAAAGAGATGGGTGGTTGGGATGGTGGCAGGAGAGGATGGTGAAGGGGAAGAGGTTAGTGGGTGCAGGTGTTCTGAAGGTGAGCCACAGGTTTTGCTGACAGTCTGCCCGTGCAGTGTGGGGGAGGAATCTAGGATGAAAGGGGTATCAGCCCAATGAGCAGGAAAAATGCCCATTTCATGCCATGACACAGAAGATCTGCTGTGTTCTTGGGAAGAATCCCAGGACTTGGTATGTTTCAGATGAATGAGACATTTGAATACAGGACTGAGATGTGGAGGAAAGGTCCAGGCGGGAGGTGTCAATGAAGTGAGATTAGAAGCTGGTTGCTGTTTCCTGGGGGCAGGAGAAGGAAGTTTGGGGGCCAGGCGCCTGGGCACTTCAACACTTGGAGGGCAGAGAGAGGAAAGGTACCCAGTACAGGAGGGCACTGAGGAGGCAGAAGTAAGTGAGTGAAAGAACCATGCATTGCCTAGCTTCAATTATTGTATCAGTTACCTACTACTGAGTTATAAACCACCCCCAAAGTTTAGTGGCTTAAAACAACAATGTATTCCTTCTACAATTCTGTAAGTGGACTGGGAGGTTCCTTTGTATCCCGGTCGTTATCTGGGGTGACTCGTGAGGCTGCCTTGGCTGGGGCGGGAGCCTCCACATTGGCCTTGTTCCTGTCTGGGATTTGGTCCTGGCTGTGAATGCGGCAGCTTCATCCTCTCCCTCGGTCCCTTCCTCTGGAAGAGCCAGCCCTCTTCCTCACAGTTCGCGCTGGGTTCCATGGGAGGACAAGCTGGGGCTACCCAGGGTCTCTCAGGGCCTCACGTGGAACTGTCAGAGCATCCCTCCCACCAGGTTGTACTGGCCAAAGCAATACAACCAGCCAGGGTCCTCCTCTGGACAGAGCAGCGTGCCTCACGTGCCGGGTATGGGAAGGAAGAGTTGGTAGCCATCTATGTGACCACTTACTGCCACAGTTAGGCTTTCTCAATTTACAATTTTACTACTCACACGACCTCTGCCTCTCAGTGCCTATACTGGGTATCTTTAATATTCTATTCAAATGGGAACTTAGGCCAAGAGCTCCCCACTGGGGAGCACTGGGTATTAGTCTTGCTCTTCCCTTAGCCAGTCGAATGCTCTTTAGTAAGCCATTTTATTTGTTTGGGTTCAGTTTCCTCATTTGTTCCACCTGGGTTGACAGTCGGTGGGGGTGGACAGCACTAGATAAGTTTTAAATTAAGTAGACCAGCCGGGTGTGCGTAGCTGCGTTTGTAGTTCAGAAACTCGGGAGGCTGAGTCAGGAGGATCGCTTGAGCTCAGGAGTTCCAGGCTGTAGTGAGCTATGATGGGAACCACTGCACTCCAGCCTGAGCTACAGACTATCTCTAAAGTATCATAAATAAATAAACAAGGAGAAATGCAGGTCAAGTGCGAGAGCACTGTGCAGGGCATGTGTTATGCTGGCTAGATGTCCCTGATTCTCAGCCCTTGGAGTACCTCCCTGTCTTCTCTGGCAGACAGCAGCATTCCCCAGCAGGGGCTGGTGGCTGGCCACGCAGAGAGCTCCTCTATTGTGAGCTCCTCCCACTCTGCAAACCCTACAGCTCAAGGAAAAGCTTTAACATCAGAAAGAACTCAAGAAACCAGTTTTCCAAAACCTCTCTTCCCCTGTGTTTACTCCTTTGTTATGAATTTACTTCTTGGATGTCGAAATATTTAAGAACTTGGTGGAGACCAGTTTTATCGTTCCTTCTGTCCTTCCTGGCTCCACAGCTGCAAGAAACATCACCCCCACTACTGAGCTTGCACCACTTAGAGGGCCCACGCAGGGGTGAAGGCGTTTGACAGACATTGTCTGATGTATTCCTTACTGCAGCTCCCCGCCGTCCCCGCCCCAGGGAGAGCAGTACTTCGATTTTCCCCAAAAGGAAAGCGAGGCACAGGCTAGGATTAAGGAACTTGCTCAAGGTCACAGAATTTGAACTCAGGCCACAGACGCTGGAGCAGCTGGATAAGGGCCTCCTTAGCCCCATCACCCCACCGACCCCAGCAGAGCGTGACCCGCCAGGACGGAGGCCGGCAGCTGGGGAGCTGGAGCATGGGACCCCAGACCACAGACTCAGGCCTGCGCAGCCTCCCGGCTTACAGGCTCCCCGCCAACCTCCCGCCCATTCCGCTGAGAAGCCAGGAGGTTCACTCTCAGGGCGCACAAGCATGAAAACCTTACTTCAGCCTCTGAGATGCGGAACTGACCGACCTATCGTCTTGGGACCCAACAGTGCGCTTGGGTGCACAGCCCTCTTAGCGTTGGTGCGGCTCCCTCCCGCCTCCTTCCCATCCCAGAGGGCCCCTGGCCTGGGCCGCCGTGCCTCTGGCAGCTCGAAGAAGAGGTCGGGCTTGCAGGAGAGCGCAAACTGAAACCAAAACAGGCCAGCGCGAGGAACATCCGAGGGAAATGCAGACCAGCGAAGCACAGCGCCTGGGCCAGAGGCCTGGGAGCCTGGGCTCGCCCCGCGCCCCTGCACCCCTTCCCCACGCTGCTCCCCTCTTCCTAAGTGTCCCCCGCTCTCCCCGGGCCAGCAGAAGAAGGGTGGGACTCGGGCAGGCTCGGGAGGGACCCTGGAGGAATGGATGGTGGCCGAAGGGCGGAGCAGGGGCGGGGCCGCGGAGACTCCAAGGGCGCCCCGGGCGTAGGCACCCACTCTGGGAGCACAGAGAACTCAGGTAGTCGGGCTAGATGGCGGCGCGCAGCCTGGGCCGCGGCGTCGGGAGCTGCTGGGCGGCCTGCGAGGGCTCTCCGGGCAGCCCGCGCGGCCGCTGTGTCGGGTGAGCGCTTGCCGCTCGGTGACCTCGGGACCCTGGGGCAGCGCCCCACGCAGTTGCCGCAGCCTGACAGCTCGGCTCGTACCCCGCGCTGAGTGCACAGGCAGCCCGAGCCAGCCGCCTTCTGGGGGCCTCTGGCGCGAGATGCTCTAGTGGGACACCCCCTACCACACCGTCTGGACCTGGAAGCTTCCAGCACTGGCAAGATCGGCTGGTTCCTGGGAGGCCAGTTAAACGTCTCTGGTGAGTGGGCTTCGGGAGACCCAGGACGCCCCCAGCCTCACCCCGTCCAGAGGAACTCGGAGCCTCTCGCCTGCAGCAGCCGTCCCCGGAGGCTGCGCGGATCGCACCTGCGGGAGCCCCTCCTCAGTATTCCGTCCGCCCCGCCAGCTCCCTAAGCGGTGGCTCCACGTCACCCTGTCCCTCATCCCATCCGGCCCCAGATCCACGTGCCCAGCTCGGGCGGTGCCCGCGAGGACCCGGTGGCCGCCCAGGACGCCTCTGCTGGCCTTGCTCGCGCCCGGCTCCTCGCTCTGCTGACTCAGAGTTGCATTACCGGGTGCATAGCGCCGCGGGCCAGAGCCGGCGAGGAGCCCGCGGGCTACACCCGAAGCGCCCTGGTGTTGGGACTTTCCCGTTGCTATGCGGGGTGGACGGAAAAAAACAAAGCAGTGGCGGTTGTCACTGGGGAGCTGCGGTGCCCGGGGGATCAGCCTGAGGACAAGCCCTGCCCACATAAACAAACAGAGCTGTGGCGGGCGACCTGGGGAGGAGGGAAACCCAGCGTGGCAGCGGAACCAGTTATTTCTCGCTGCGGGCCTGGGGCCTGTGGGCGGGAAGGAAGTAACAGCGGCCTCCCCGTTCTTGTTCTCGGCCTCAGAGAACTGCACCCCAGCGACCCAAGGCCTGCTTTGGACGCGCGGGGTCTGAGTTCCCAGTGGTCAGTGGTCTGAAACTTGCTGAGCAGAGGCCTCTGCTGCTCTGCTAAGATTTGGGGCTGGGGTCATTACCGCACCTCGCCCCACCTAAAACGCTGACTGGGCAGCCAGGGGGAAGCCTGAACTGCAGGCAGGGCTGGCCACGCAGGAGTGGGTGCCAGAAGTGCAGGGTGGGCCACCAGCACCTAATCCTTCCAGTCCCACCCAGACCAAGGATCATTATGCCCACTCCCAGAGTTAGATAGGCTTGGATTGACCAATTATGTGCATTGTCTGTGGTTGGTGAGTGGCTGGACAGGGGCTGGACTTTGGACCCTGAGTTTTTAGTGATGACTCCAGGCTGCCAGCCAGTGGCTCCACGAGAGGCCGGCAAGTATGTGTAATCACCCCTGTCCCAGAGGAAGAAAACACTGGAAATCTGGCATCTGCGTAGAAAGTGGACGTGCATGCAGGTTCGCGCGCATGCATCGTCGGTCGAGGTCCCAGGACCAGCAGCGGTTGCATCACTGGGATCTTGTTAGAAATGCAGATGCCCAGAGCGGGGAAGTGAGCACACCAGCTCCAGCTAACACACCCTCTGGGGATTTCTGATGCCACTCAAGGTTGAGAAGCTCTGATTTGGGCCAAAAGAGGCGTCTTCTACTTGAGGGATGAAGCTACAAAAAGACAGAAGAGGTCTGCTCCTCCTTGGGTGTGAGGAGACCACCTGTCGCTCAGTTACTCCCCCAGTAGGACCCTTTGGCTAGAGACGCGAGTGAGTCTGTTTCTCGGCTCTGTGCTCTGGACTAGGCTACTGAGGCCCAGACCCCAGCAGGACACTCGAGCCGGTGCCCTCGGGAGTGCAGCAGGCAGCGAGCATCTGGAAGAGTTGGGGGATGCACAGGGTCCTGGACAGTGAGGTGCTCGGAGAGTGAGGCGCGTCGGGCTGAGACCTGCAGTGTGGGTGTGAGGAGGGCACAGCGCCCCAGGCAGGGAGAAGCCACAGCAAAGTCCCCAGGGCAGAGCTCACCAGGCGTGGCCTGGCCAGCAGGGAGGCAGGTCACTGGGGCCTTGGTGGCCACTTTTTGACACCTTCTGCATCTGTGCTCTGGACTAGGCTACCTGAACCCAGACCCCAGCAGGACACACGACCGGTGCCCTCGGGAGTGCAGCAGGCAGCGAGCATCTGGAAGAGTTGGGGGATGCACAGGGTCCTGGACAGTGAGGTGCTCGGGAGAGTGAGCGCGTCAGGCTGAGACCTGCAGTGTGGGTGTGAGGAGGGCACAGCGCCCCAGGCAGGGAGAAGCCACAGCAAAGTCCCCAGGGCAGGGGAGCTCACCAGACGTGACCTGGCCAGCAGGGAGAGGCAGGTCACTGGGGCCTTGGTGGCCACTTTTTGAGCACCTTCTGCATGTGGTGAGGCACCTGGGGACACTGTGTTTGGGGCTCCGTTCTGATCTGTTGGACTCAGGCCACCTGTCAGTCCTGGAAAGACAGGGACACGTGGCTTATCTCACGGGCCACCCAGCCGCACCTGGGTGCTGTCCATCCTGGGGCTGGCCTGCCCCTCTCCACCTTCCTCAGCTCTGCCTTCCTGCTTGGTATAAAATGGTACAGGATGTCATGCTGGGCTGGGAGGTTGTGAGGGCCTGTTTGAAGTCGGGCAGTCACTCTCTCTGAGAGAAGTGTCCTGGTGCCCTGGCTGCTGTGGGAGCAGGTGAAGCAATGAGATGAATGCCAAGGCGAAGTGTCCAGCGTGGTTCCAGCCCTTCCTGCTTCGTCCTGGCTGGGGCCTTGGGCAGGTCACTGTGCCATTCAGAGGCATTTTCTCATCTACGCCTGGGCAGGCCGCTCTTCTGGGGGGCTCCGGGGTCAAATTTGGAGTGGAGCAAGTGTGTCAGGCAGAGCTTTTCAGATGTGAGAGTGGGTTCACATCTCCTGGGGCTTCTTATGAGGCTGGCTGGGACTCAGCAGGTCTGGGTGGGACTGACGGTTTGCATTTGTGACCAGCTCCTGGGGGGGATGGCGGGTGCAGACAATGTCGATCCTCAGCTGGGCATTCCCAGGCTTGTCATAGCTGCCCAGAGTCACTGGAGGTGACAGGCAGGCAGCGGTGTATGGGACTCTCTATGGAGGGATGATCTCCTGCTGATTATTCAGAAGCCAGAAGTCCATCACTTTCATGTGAAATCTCTTGATTTGTAAATATTGGACTGGATTCGCACACACACGCCCACACACCCTGGTTAGGGTGCTTAGCACATCTGTATACTGGACTCAGCCTAGGGACCACGTTGGCAAATATCGGTTGTACCTGTGTTTTAATTTTCTCCCTGGCAGTTGTGTTGTTTTTCCATCTCCTTCAGGGTTTACATGTTCCTCTCGCCTGCCTGAATTGGCCTCACTATTCTTATCAACTGTTCTGTCTCCCCTGTCTGTAAGACCAAGCCCGATTCTTCCCTCCTCCCCTCTTCCCCCACTACTGGCAAAGCTTGCTTCCCTCCCACTTGTTGCATAGAGCAGTTCTCCACTGCCTGGTGAAGAATTGGACTGTTATCAGGTGACTTTGGAGGGTAGGATGGTGGGAGAGACTGTGGAGCCAATCTGCCTGTGTTGAATCCAGCTCCGCCTCTGTGTGACCTTGGGCAGGCAGGTTAACTTCTCAGGACCTCTGTTTTCCCATCCGTAATGGGAGATGCTGGTGGTGTGGGTGCTGTCTCTGTGGAGGCTCTTGCAGTAATTATTGTGTCAGCCCCAGGCTGCTCTTAACTTCCTAGGGTTTGCCTCCCCAGGGTAAATTCAGCTCCATTTCCCCGTTTGGACAAGTGTTATGAGCCTGCCACCACCGACCTTGTGTGTTTGGTCACTTTGCATGTTTCTTACGTTTGCATCTGTCTCCTGCACGCACGACAGGGGTTTCGAATCTGCCCTGGCATTTCCCTCAGTGCTCAGCATGGTGCTTGATCAGGATTGGCACCCAGGACTGGTTGGGTTAAACCATCTCAGGGTTGTATGCTCCTTCTCTTTGCTCCTAAGAGACTACCCAACACCCAGCAAAACATTGTGGAGTTAATGCTGCACTTGGCATAGCCACAGTGAACAGAGGTTAATGTGCCCACTCCCCCAACACACACAGAGATGTCAGGTTCCTTGTGTAATTTCAGGTCTGCCACTGAGCCCCTTCTTAGTTTGTCTTCTTGTTTTTATTTTCTTCCATTTTGGGGCCATTTCTTCTCTTTTATTTTTCTGTTAATAGTAGTTCAAAGAACTTTCCTGTGTCTGTTGCTAGTATTAATAATTTTTTCCTGGCATCTGTCTTCATTTATTACATTTTTTGAGGTGTAATTTACAAACAGGATACAGGGGTGACCCTGAGAGACTAGGTGGGCAGGTGCTGCTGCCCCCAAAGTCAATCGCGGGGCTCATGTCCCTGCATACGCGGGGACCCACCGATGGGCCAGTGAGTGAAGAGAGCTGGCTTGAGGGTTGTCAGAAGGGGCTCAGCTTTGGAATCTAATGAGTAGTGACCAGCCTGCTGGCAGAGGAGCCCGTGCTGCTAATCCTCAGTCTCACAGTGTGCCGGTATGCCGCAGAGCTGACTGTTTCTGCCGGAGGGTCATGTGTGGAAGCTTGGGTAATGGAGAGGGAGGGAGCTGAGCCTTCTGCAAAACTAGGAGGACATTTCCCCATCATGAGCCACTTCTTGGAACAAGGCTGGTTTACTGGGTACTGGTGGAACATGTGGGGGAGTTGGGTCCTCATCCCTTCTTGCACCTTTAACCTTGGGGGCAAGACAGCACTGGGCAGATGGGAACTGCAGGAGCCAAGCCCTGAAACAGGAACAACCTGTTTGCGCTGAGTGTTCTTTCCAACAGCTCAGGCTGCACTGCCCAGCCCTGGCTGCACATCAGAACCAACCATGGTGTCTTTGAGGCTTTGAAGGCCCAGGGCCCATTGGGTAGGGTCTCTAGGGGTGGCCCAGGAGATGCCAATATGCAGCCAGGGTTGGGTCCATTGTGAAGCAACCACTTCAGAATATTTGCAGGACATCACCTTATACCTCTGAGATCATGTTTGTTCACCGTTCTCCTTGCAAGGGGGTAGAAACATCATCACTGATGAGGACAGGGTCCCTGTCAGTGGGAGAAGAGAGAGCCACAGCAAACTAGACCCCCGCTCCAATCCCTCACCCTGGCCGAATTCTCACTCCAAAAGCACCAAGTGTTAACATCTGTAAACTCTCTTTTTGTACAGTCAACTGCTTGGACCAGCATGTTCGGAAGTCCCCCGAGAGCGTTGCGTTGATCTGGGAGCGCAATGAGCCTGGAACGGAAGTGAGGATCACCTACAGGTACTGTGTGCCCTTGAATGTTCAAGGTGCAAGGGAGGCACCCAGCCCGGTCCTGTGTACTGAGTCTGGCTGTCAGGGAGGGGCTGTGTGAGTCTCAAGGAGTGCACTTTGGCTTTGCAAATGCTCTCTTATCCAGGAAAAGTAAACATGAACGCAAGCAGAATGAAACACAGTAAAAGCCGATCTAGCCTGCCTGGCCACACTCTCAGTGCCTTGTGAGGGTGGGACAATAAATAAAATCATCTTTAGAAGAGTTATTTTGTTTTTAAGCTGATCTTTTTAGTCTCTGATTCCTTAAGCAGATTCTATGTGCCCAGCATGTTTCAGATGCTGTGTGCGTTGGGGGGTTTGCACTGGTCTTCCCCAAGCTGCTTCCTGTAGGAGCTGCTGTGTCGGTGCAGCACCTTTGTTCTCCATGCAAACCCCCTTTGCCTGAGGCTTACTTTACCCTTACAGAGATGCCTCAGGCCCACTGTGCCCCTAAACTGTGAGTTCCTAAGTCCCCATCACACACAATCATCCAGCGTGATTACTCTCCTGGGGGCAGCTCCAGGGTCTTCTTGTCCAATTACTTAGCAGGTCTTCACTGGGTGCCTTCGTATTGATATGGGCTGGGGTATGTTGCAGTAACAAACAATCCCCAAGCACATGGCAGAGCATGGCTGGGTGGCCACTGTGAGCTGAATAGTCTGGAAGGCCTCTTGGAGGAGGCAATGTTTCAGCTGAGGTCTTATGGGCCAAGAGGAGCAGTCCTGAGGAGACAGGGGCAGACCTGGTCCAGGGGTCCCAGAAGTAGAGGGAAGGTGCACGTGGCTGGGACACGGGAGCGAGGGAACGTGGAGGAGGAGCATTCCGACAGGCAGGTCCACACTGGGCAGCCTGAGAGCAGTAGTCACTGCCCTGCCACTCGGGTGACCTGGGGGCGAAGGGGCACTTGTAGTTTCCTGTTTGTTTCTTGAACTCCAATTTTATCACAGACCAAATTCACCAAACCTGCTAAAACTGCACTCACGCCGACTATTGGATGCAGACAAGTGATGCTAGTGGATCTGCTGCGGCTCCCAGTGGGCCCTGTCCTGCTTGTTCCTCCCCTCAGCCCCTGGGAGCCCTCAGGCACAGCCTCCACCAGCCTCGGCCAGGGCTCCTTTGCTGACCCGTCTCCCCAGCGGTCAGACTTATAGCCTATATAGCATGCATTTCTTATCTCTAGTCCCTGGTTGCAGATGCCATGTGGCCCACAGGCCAGCAGCATGCCCGGGAGCCTTGGGCCCCAGTGGACAACTGAGCGGCCCCCTAGGTGGCCCCTGCACACTGGAGTGCAGGGGCTCTGAAGACCCAAGCTGCTGCAGACGCCCCTCACCATGGTGGGTCCAGCTCCATTTGCCTGCGAATAAACCCCCTTCTGAGAAGGAACTTGAGGCTGCTGCCCCAGCAGTTGTTCTTCAGTAAAAGATGAAATCCTTCTGTTGGGGATCAGGGGCTAAGGAGCTGCACCTGGAGGTCCGGCAGGGCGGGCCCAGCCATGGCACTCCCCGAAAGGCCAGTTTCCCTCCATCAGTCTCTCAGGTGTGCCTGAACCCTGGGGCCGGCGGGCCGTGTGCGATGCCCCCTCAGCTGGACGCTACCCGTGGGTGCACTGAGTGCATGCTAAGCAGCGGTTCGGTCTGTGAGTGGGGCTGGAGCCCTGTGGAGATGTGTGGTTAAACATAAACCACATGAGAATTCTCAGGACTGCAACCAGCCTATGAAAACTAAGGACAGCTTCAGGCCCATGGCACTGAAATGGCCCTGGCAAAGTACTTATTACTCTGTCTCCAAAAATAAACAGGGGCCGGTCACAGTGGCTCACGCCTGTAAACCCAGCACTTTGGGACGGTGAGGTGGGCGGATCACTTGAGGTCAGGAGTTTGAGACCAACTTGGCCAACATGGTGAAACCCTGTCTGTACTAAAAATACCAAAATTAGTTGGGTGTGGTGATGTGCGCCTGTAGTCCCAGCTACTTGGGAGGCTGAAGCAGGAGAAACGTTTGAACCCGGGAGGTGGATGTTGCAGTGAGCTAAGATTGTGCCACTGCACTCCATCCTGGGTGACAGAGCCAGACTCCATCTCAAAAAATAAATAAATAAAAATAAAAAAATAAAAATAAACAGACTTCTTCCAAAATGGTTTTGCAGACTTTAGCCAGGCTTAATACGAGGTGACCATTTCTGTTTTACTGTTTGCCAGTGAAAAGTGTTACCTGTAATTGCAGCTAGTATTTGAGGGATGTGAGTTCCTTACTGTCCCTCGTCATGCTAAGTTTCTGATGTGAGGTGTTCTTCTTCCTTTCTCTGAGGGAAGCCCCCAGACATTGGTGCCGGTTTGTCCTCCAGCAAGACACCTCACTGCCACTGAACACAGTGCTTTCCTGCTCCACGAGCCTCGTGCCCCAGCACTTAAGGTGCCTAGGAAGGTTGCAGGCCTCCTCGGCTGGAAGATCAATGTACAGACTAGCAGCCTGGGCCTGTTAAAGAAACCCCTTGGGGCTGGTAGAGATTGGGATGCTGGTGGCGTGCCGGAGGCTTGCAGGCAGTGAGGAAGTCTGTGTGTTACAATCCCAGGTGACCTGGCAGAAACCCTCCCGACTCTGACCCCCGTGACCTTAGGCTGGTGATGCTGGAGTCAACACAGGCAGATACAGCCCTGGGATGGAGTGCCTGCTTTACCCACCTGCAAGTGCAGGATTTGCAGTCCCTGCTTCCCCGGTCCTCGAGGGTACGGTCTGCAGAAAGAAGGTAATGTTCTAGCTCTAGTTCAGTACCATCTTGCTGTGGCCTGTGCCCTTGTGTGTCCCTAATCTCCCCAGTGTGACTTTCCCATCTGTACACCCAGGGTAATTGTCTAATGGAGATGATTGTAAAGTAGGCACAGGGAGATGACAGCTTGAGCAGCACTAGCAAGTAAGAATAGCCGTGATGATGATGTGGCTGCTGTTGTGAGTACTCACTGGATTCAGAGCTGTTTTCAGCATTGTAACTGGGCAGCGGCGTTGGGCCTCATGCTGGCTGGCTGCAGGGCTCGGGAAGGAGGAGCCCGTTCCCTGCTGCGGTTTTACCCTGCTTCCTCCTTCATAATTGCAGCACTCACTTCCCACTGGGAGGTGAAGGAGCTCAGCCAGGACATCTGCACCCATCTCCCAGGGCGATCTGCCACCCAATTCCAGGTCCCAGCTCCACTTCCAGCCTTCCTCTGCCCAGAGCTAGCTGAGGCAGCCCTTCTCCCCTGGTGAAGCAGCAGGCTGAAAGCCCAGAGCAGAACAGTGCCTGCCAGAGGCTATGGGCCTGGTGGCCCTGAGGCTGTGGGGCCAGGCAGCACTCTGGGAGGGCAGCGGCTCTTTTGGCTGTTTAACCTGCACTTCTCAGCAGGTGCCCATTTTATTTATTTTTATTTATTTCTTTTGAGACAGGGCTCAAAAATGTCACCCAGGCTAGAGTGTGGTGGTGTCACGCTCACTGTAGCCTTGAGCTCCTAGGCTCAAGTGATTCTCCTGCCTCAGCCTCCCGGTAGCTGGGACTACAGGTGTGTGCCACCAAGCCTGGCTAAGCTTTTTATGTTTTGTAGAGATGGGATCTTGCTATGCTGCCCAGGTGGGTCTGGAACTCCTGGGTTGGAGTGATCTGCCCACCATGGCCTCCCAAGTACTGGGATTCCAGGCGTGAGCCAACGCACCCGGCCGGTGCCTGTTTTAGAAGACTGTCCTTCACACTGTAGTTCGCATGGGCACAGTTCTAGAGACCCTGAGGAGTGGCCATGTGGAGAAATGCAAATTCCTCTCTTTCGGAAGCGGTGGCCCCAGGTAGATGAATGAGGCTTTGAGATGGCTGCTGCCCTGAAGCTGGGTGTGTTTCTCTGACTGGAGCCTGAGTCAGGGTCAGGGTCTGGGCAAGAATTTTCCAGGCTAGGAGCTGGATTCCAGGTGCAGGAAGCAGCCTAGGCCCTGTGCAGGTCAGATCTTCTCAGCCAGCAGTGTGCACACACAGAGGAGGGAACCCCGGACTATGGGTGCCAGGCTGGGGGTGCCTGCAGAGGCTCCAAATCAGTGAACCTCTTCTCTGAGGTCTCTGTAGGGAGTGAACTTGAACTTGAACTTAAATGAGAGCATCTTAAGCCAGAGGGATGAGTTTGGCTCTGGCTTGTCTCTCAGCCTCAGACCCATCCCTCTGGGCTTTGATGTCCTCATCTGTAAAAGGAGGGATTTGATGGCCCCAGTGTTCCAGCCCTGGCAGCGTGCTGAAACACGGAGGGGCAGAACTGGGCCCCGAGTCTGCGAGGAAGCACAGTCACTGTGTGCCCTCCCGAGCTGTTGCCCGTGAAACTCCCACTGGTAGGGGTAATTTCTGTGACTGTTATTTCGGCCTTACCATTGGGTCTGCACAGTAAAGCCCCCTCACCAGAGGAGCAGAGAATGTCAGGCCTCCCCCAACCCGGCTGCCTCAGAGTCCCAGAGGGGATTGAGGAAGGCTTTCTCCGATGGGTGTGCTGGGCTGGGCATGGGGCACCTGCAGTCTGTGCAGCCTGGCACCTGACACGGGGGCCACTTGAGGCTGTGCAAGACAGGGCCTGTCCGTTCACCCTGGGGAGAGGCTGCCACACACTGCAGCTGAGGTGGGGTGGGGACTGAACCTGGGCCACCTCTCTGAGAGGCTTGTTTCTGTTGTCCGCCCTGGATATCTTCAAACACAGCTATTTAGGGGGGTCACAGAAGTGGCTGGTCTCGGGGGGAGCAGGAAGCAGAATCTATGCAGGCCTTAGTTGGAGAAGGCTTTGTGGAGGGTTGAGTTTTGAGAGGCAGAGGAAGGGGAAGTGTAGTGAGGGCAGGAGTGGGGGACTGGTGAGAGGACACACAGGGGAGGCCGAGGTCTGGGAACTGGTGGAGCAGGCGGGAGGCTGTGCCCTGCCTGCCTTGACCCTGGCAGGGGGAGGGCCGGGCCCTGGACCTGGTGGAGGCAGGAGGCTGTG